AAAGAGAAGCAGAAATTACAGTCTCTCATGGCATTCGGTAAAGTCATCCCTCTAATTCCTGTCCATAAAATGCATTCACCACCTAAAGTACCTCAGAAAGCTACAAAGCAAACAGACAGATTTACAGAATGTAAGTATGTTATTACAATTGTACAAGTGTGTATGAGAACATGGTCATGCATGTGTGTTTCTGTCTTATAATTTAGAGAAGTTATGTCATGAATGGATTCAAAAAATTAATAATGCCATCAGGAAGCTTGGTGAACACTGCAGTCATCTACATACACTGTTCTAGTATTTCCGCCACACCAAGCCCACAAAGAGAAGTATCTGCAGGGAAACTTCCATAACTCATCATAATACCAAAAATGTCTAATTGAAGTTTGCATTACAGTGGTGGAAGAGGTGCAGGATCGCTTAGACTTTTTGTTGGAGATGAGGGAACTAGGATATGAAAAGAAGTATCGCCCCATTATTGAACAACAAGTAGCTGACAAAGTGAGACAAATGAAGGCAATTGACCCACAACGTTGTCAAGATCTGGGAACACTCAACCACTTGCTTCTGGCCCAATCTAAGGAATCAGCATGAAGAATTTTGCCATTCCTTACTATTTACAACTGTAATAATACCAAAATAATTTGTGTTAATGCTCAATTTGTTAGCTAACTAACAAGAAAATATATTCTTATAGTGGAAAATGCATTTCCTTTTTAAACATTTTGTAATGCCTTTGTGTGACTGACATCTTTAGACTATATGCTTCAAAGTGAGTTACTGAAAGAAATGTTTCAAGTGTGTACTTTCATGAATCAAACACTGTCTTTTGTACTGCCCTGATTTATTTTGTAATTGTCTGTGTTAAAATTTTATGCTCATGTTTTAAACATATTGTTATCTGTTTGCATACCAATGTTATCAGTAAAAATCTGTCTTATAAACAGAATGAAAGAGAACTACATACTGTGACTCTGCTTTGTATGATACTTTCAGTCATTTTAATAACAGTGATATTCTAGATTTAATTTCAATTCCTAGAACTAATTCCAACTTGCCTTTGTATCAAGCTATTGTATCCTGGGACCTGAGACAAATTAATAACCAGTGCCTCTTTAATGAAACATGTTTGCCAGTCTCTCATACATGGCTTTAGCCTCAAAGTTAAAACATACAATGCACCAGTAGATGTGTGACTTTTTACAAATTCGCCAATACATATCAATCCTTATCTCTAGCCACTTAACAATCTTGATGATAATTTGACTCAGCAGAGTTCATGAAACTGATAGTCCCTTACCTGGTCAGGATATTCCCTATTTCCTCTAGAAACTTGAGGTTCATTATCATTTTCAGAAGAATCGCCTTTCAGTACACACATACACACACATACATTATATTCCATAGATCCAAAGTAAGTCAGAATGA